GCCCCCCCCCCGTTGAAGAGCTTTAGCTTCATCCCTTTAACCCGTGCAGGGCTGGAGACGAATCAAAACGCCACCCTCCTCCTTCCAGCGCCCAGACCCGGAGGGTGAAAAGCTTAGTTTGTACAGCCTATTGTGTTATCATATGAATAATTTTTTTGCATTGCTGCAACCTGCACTGTATATTTTTTATTTTATTATTAAATTTATACCCCCGCCCTCCACACAAGGGCTCAGGGCGGCTTAGAAATAGGGCCCTTTGTGCCAATAAATAACCAGAATAAAACACAATAAAGCAAGATCGTGAACAAGTGCTCTAAGATGTTACACTAATCCAAAGATGGGATCTACTAAAAGGAAGGACACTTGTGCTGTAATGTTTTCCAATGGAGCCCATGCAAGTCAATTGCCATTCCTGGCTCCCATTGTTTCCAATGGGTCTTCCAGCATCTCCCATTGTTTCCAATGGGCAACCCTGTCCTTCCTTTTAGTACATCCCTCAAAAGATGGTATTCGGCTGATGGTGTTCAGATGATAGTGTCTATATTTCAGGACAACCGTACTGGCCCACTGCGCTGCTGCAGTATGCTCTTCCAGGTCTATTCTAGATTTTTTCCCATCCCAAAAGAAACGTGTTAAAAGCATTTGCCAGGAGTCCCGCCCCGGCAGTGCCCTCTGTGTGGCTCAGTGGGGCTGCTCGGGAGTAACCCCGCACCAGGTTGCCCTCCCCGGAGTCCCCCCCCCTGCTGCTCAGTCGTCAGAAAACAGCAGGGCTTGGGGGAAGGGGTGAAAATCAAGGGAAGCGAGAGGGGCCGATGCGGTCGGAAGCAGGTCTACCTTCAGCCCTCTTCAAGGGGCTTAACTCCTAGATCTGGCTCCCCCCCCCCTCTCCTGGTGGGGAAGGAAAAGCAAAGAGGCCACGGGATCAGGGAGTAGAAAATAGTCAGTGAGGACCGTGATAGAGTTAAGGAAGGGAATATCACTCTCTTTTTTTTTAGATTTTCAAAAAGAAATGAATGTTAATACATCTCTGTACGTCCACACAAGGATAAACATTAAAAATAAAAAAAAATGATCCCGCAGTGTTGACAAAGGTAAAAGGTTCCCTCGCTCGAAAGCCAGTCCAGTCCGACTCTAGGGTTGCGGTGCTCAATTCCGTTTCAAAGCCGAAGAGCCAGCGCTGTCCGAAGACGTTTCCGTGGTCATGTGGCCGGTATGATTAAACAGCAAGGCGCAGGGAACGCTGTTGCCTTCCCACCGAAGAGGTCCCTACTTCTCTCCTTGCAATTTCTTGCTTTCGAATGGCTAGGTCGGCAGGAGCTGGACCGAGAGAGAGCTCACTCCGTCATGCGGCACACTCAGGTCTCGAACTGCTGAACTACCGACCTTCCACGGCCTGCAGTTCAGCGTCTTAACTACTTGCACCACCGCAGCTCCATATGTTCACTGCCACAGGAAGTGGTGGCGGCTACAAGCATGGACGGCTTCAAAAGGGAATTAGATAAGCATATGGAGCAGAGGTCCATCAGTGGCTATTTGCCACAAGGTATAGATAGGGGCTCTGGGACAAGTGATGCTCTGTATTCTTGGTGCTTGGGGGGGTCAACAGTGGGAGGGCTTCTAATGTCCTGGCCCCACTGGTGGACCTCCTGATGGCACCTGGTATTTTTGGCCACTGTGTGACAGAGTGTTGGACTGGATGGGCCTTTGGCCTGATCCAACATTGGCATCTCTTATGTTCTTACGTTCTTATGTTGGCAAGTGCTGACAAGCAGAGTCTCATAACCTAAACGTCTCCTCTGTTGCAGGAGTCCGCTGTGTCCCCCTTCCCCTCCAGCGTCACCCGACGCAAATCAAGCGCAACAAACCATCCGTCTCCTTTGAGTCTTTCTTTGTACCCGCATTGCACGAGGGAGAGGTGAACTAATCATGGCTCAGCGCAGGAGCACTGGCCAATCAAGGGCAAACTCAACAACTAGATAGGGTGGTAGCGACCCTCCAAGGGCAGATCAGCCCAGCACAAGCTCAGACAAGGACGGAGCTGCACGTACTGGTCTGCGACTGGGTCCACGTGGAGTGACGGATATGGGATGATCCCACGGTCTACTCAGTTGTGGTTTGGAGGTGGGCAGGGGAGGGTGCAGGAGAGCTTGCATTCCTGGCCAACTTTCCCCTCCTTTTATATTTTGCATGAGAGCCATGGCCAGCAGCTGGCTGGCAGCTGGCACTCACCACCGCACCACACTGGCTAATTGCCCGGGGAGAGCCCCTCCCCACTAGTAGGTCGCCGATACTTGGGGCAGCCACAGGCCTCCAAATACAGATACTGCCCCCACTTGCTGGGTTGTGCCCTCCTTCCCACCACACCATCTCATGGTCAGGGGAAGGCCTTCCCCCCAAGATGGGTCAGCACTGCACCCCGCCCCCATCTACCGTCTCCCTGGATCTTCCCTGCCCCCCCTCCTTCCCCACCAGTGTCTTTCCCCCGGGCTTCAGTTTCAGTGGGGAGGGAACCACCAGGACAGACTGATTGATGGGTAGCCCTCCCGGGACAAGACCACACCATCCGCAGCAGACTTTAGTAGAGAATGTTGATTTTCCTGAAAGACCAAACAGGCATATCTAAAAAAAACAAACCAACGCTGACAACTAATGTAGCAAAAGACCATTGATCCTGACCCACAAACTAAAACAAGAGCTCTCCTCATCCACGGGGGAAACCCTTGGGGGGGGGGGTGTCTCTTGACCAGAGCTGCCGATTTAGCTCCATTTTCCTTTGGGTTCTTTCTGCCTTTTCTGATAACTTTTCCTCTCCCTCTTCACAGCCCCGTGGGAAAGGCCGTCTTCCTAAAATCTGAGGCGACCCAAGAGAAGTGGAAGGAGATGGAAGAGGAGGACCCGGAAGGCCCCGGAAGTGACCAGAGAGCAAGCAAGGGTCCCCATCCCACCCAAGAAGGGAGCGGGGTTGGATCCTGGGAAAGAGCCGTGCCGGAGATCCTGGCTAAGGACACCGTGACCTCAGATGCCCATTGCCAGCGCTTCTGGCAGTTCCGCAACCGTGAGGCCGACGGGCCCCAAGAGGTTTGCAGCCAGTGGCTGGAGCCGGAGAGGCGCACCAAGAAGCAGATGCTGGACCTGGTGATCCTAGAGCAGTTCCTGACTCTCCTGCCCCAGGAAATGCAGGGCTGGATCAGAGGATGCAGGCCAGAGACCAGTTCCCAGGCGGTGGCCCTGGCCGAAGGCTTCCTCCTGAGCCAGGCAGAGGAGAAGAGGCAGGCAGGACAGGTGAAGGGGTTTCCTTCGCTCAGTTAAAGCAGTGGATTTATCCCCAGGCTTCCCTACCAGATATTTCTACCTGGAGAGAATTCAGTAGGCTGGGAAGAAAACCCAACCCTGATTTTTGCCCCTATGCTTGAAGCAGCGCTGCTGGTCAGTGCAGGGATGAGGAGCCTGCGAACGGGGCAGGATTCGTCCTCTCAGCCTGTCCCATTCCTTCTCTGACCTGTGTCCCTTGCTGTTTTTTCAGGTGTGGGGACCATCTGTGACGAGGGCAGCGAAGTTCTCTGAGGCAGAAGGAGCTCCGTCAGAGGAAGGTAAGAGGGCGCAGGCCCCCAGAGCCTGCCCAAGATGCCTTGTCAAGGGGTAAGGCTGCCTCCTGCCCGGATGGGATCGGGGCACCTGGTCAATTTGTTGGGTAGAAGGTTTGTGGCAGGAGGAAAAGAAAGTCCTACTGCTCACCACGCAGAGTGAACTTCTGGGAGTTATTCATGGCCACTCACTTGAAGGGGGAGTCGACAGATTCATGGAAGGCAATCCCCATTCTTATTGACATGAAGTAAAATCATCGCATCTCACCTTTCTTCCATCAGAAGGACTCAGGGTGGCTCAAATAAGAAAAGGAAGACAAATTTAGGTGCAGCTGTTACCCACAGTAAATAAGTGGAAGCTCCATGTTCTCCTGACCTGGGTGATCAAGACTAGCCCACTCTTATCAGATCTCGGAAGCTGAGCAGAGTCAGCGCTGGTTCCTACTTGGACGGGAGACCACCAGAGAAGTCCAGGGTCGCTCTGCAGAGGCAGGGAATGGCACACCGTCCCTGAACGTCTCTTGCCTTGAATAACTGTGGGGGTCACCGTACGTCGGCTGTGACTTGAGGCCACTTTCCACACACACAGGTTCACACCATGCTCTGAGGCCGCCGACCTCCGAAAACCCGTTGCCAGAGGGCCAATAATTTGGTTCCTGTGCCCCTGCTTAAGGTCTTTCTGGGGACGCCAGGCGGGACGCAGTCACAAAGAGGATACTGAACTAGTGATGCTGTGACGTATTTGAGCTCCTGAGTTCACAGGGCACATTTCAAGTCTCACAGAAGTCTGAAACATCTCGCCAGAATCTATGCACACACACACCTGATTGTCCTGGGCACCTGGTGCTTCTCTTCTGCATATCCCACAATTTACTAAAATTCATAACAAATTATTGTGAATCTATGTGGGGCAAAGTTTCACGAGAAGGGGTGTGTGTGTGTGAAGCGGGTGGAGGATTGGAACAAGCAAATGAACGTGGGAATTTCTAGACTGACACCCTTCCTCCCTCCTTTGTCTCCCTCAGGCGGTGAAGAAACAGTGCTGAGCCTTCGATTTTGCAGGGATGTGGAAATGGCTGCGGAACCTCCGCTGCAGGTAGGTGAGATGACTGGGGGGCAATGCCGCGAAGTCTTGTGAGCAAAATTTGTGCTTTGTGAGCTCCTGGCATTAAAGTTGTGAGCGAGTGATTTGGCCGCTGCATAAATTAGTTTGCTCTGGAGCCCTCCCTTCCTGAGCGACGACAACAAGGTGTGAGCTGGAGGCTAAAAAACGGTGAGCTGGCTCACACTAACTCAGCTTAGAGGGGACACTGACGGGGGGACAGCCTGGTTCCCCCTTTTTTCTCAAGGGGGCTTTTGCTCCTGCAGTTGCTGCGAAGGTGCCTCAGCGATAGAGGCTCTAAACCCCACTCCCTTCACCCCTGCCAAGCCTTCCTGTAACCCTCCCAGACTGCCCCTTTCTCTTGTGCGTTCTCTGCCTGGCATCATCTCTGACGAGGGAATCTGATTTTCCCTTCCAGTGTCCCGTTTCGTTTGAGGAGGTGGCCGTGGATTTCACTGAGGGGGAGTGGGCCCTGCTGGATCCAGGCCAGAGAGCTCTCCACAGGGAAGTCATGCTGGAGAACTACAGGACGGTGGCCTCCCTGGGTAAGGACCTTCCACGGCTGGGGAAGGTGCCAACTGCCGCCTCTGGGGAGGATGCGGGGATCAAAATTTTGAACAGCGATACGTTGTTTTGATGCCTGCCCAGGTCGGGGTCTCCAGCGCTGGGGTGGCAGTGAAAGCGATGCTTAGAATGGGTGGGTAGACTGACGCAAGCCACCTGGTGGGATCAGGGGACGAGAGGCCCTCAGAAAGACTCTGGAAGGAGCCCCACTCTAGTTTCTCACTAGTTGGTCTTTAAAACATGTCCCTAAGAAGATAGGAACAGATGAACACCATAAGAAGATCAAACCAGGCAGGGTCCATCAAGTCCAGCCTCCTTTCTCACCCAGTGGCCAACCAGTTCCTCTGGAGGGCCAACAACAGGGCAGAGAGGCCAAGGCCTTCCCCTGATTCTGCCCTCTGGCACTGGGAGGCCTCTGAGTGTGGAGGTTCCCCTCCGTCACCATGGTTACTAGCCCCTGATAGATTCATCCCCCATGAATCTAAATGCCTTTTAAAGCTGTCTGCTGGTCGCCCTGACAGACCATCTCTGTAGGCATCTGGATAAAGGTGGGCCGGGGGTGCAGCTGTTCTTACGCGACCCCACGGCAGCATTCAACACGGTTGATGACGGCCTTCTAACCCACTGCCTCGTTGACGTGGGATTCCGTGGGGTAGCCCTGAAATGGCTGATATCATTTCTTCTTGGTCGGGGAGAAGAGATTGGATTTGTGTTGTTGTTGTTGTTCAGTCGCACAGTCGAGTCTGACCCCATGGACCAGATCACGCCAGGCCTTCCTGTCTTCCGCCGTCCTCTGAAGTTTGCTCAATTTCATGTTCGTTGCATCTATGACACTGTCATAGATTGGATTTATACCCCGCCCTTAAGAACATAAGAGACGCCAATGTTGGATCAGGCCAAAGGCCCATACAGTCCAACACTCTGTCACACAGTGGCCAAAAATACCAGGTGCCATCAGGAGGTCCAGCAGTGGGGCCAGGACATTAGAAGCCCTCCCACTGTTGACCCCCCACAAGCACCAAGAAGACAGAGCATCACTTGCCCCAGAGTCCCTATCTATACCTTGTGGCTAATAGCCACTGATAGCCCCTCACTACCCAAAGGTGTCTCAGAGTGGCTTACAAACTCCTTTCCCTTCCCCTCCCCACAACAGACACCCTGTGAGGTGGGTGGGGCTGAGAGAGCTCTGACAGAAACTGCTCTTTTTCAAGGATAGCTCTTATCAGAACTACGGTTTGCCCAAGGTCATTCAGCCAGGTGCAAGTGGAGGAGTGGGGAATCAAACCCGTACCAAAAGAATCAAACTGTACCAAAAGAATGCTGTTGTCTTGTCTGCTAACCTCAGCTGGGAAAATACCCTGACCTAGAAACAGGCCTTCATTACATCCCAATAAAATCTAATTAAGAATAAATCTAGTCCCATCTATACTACAGGGTGGGGCACAAAGTCCCTGCTCTGGATGGGGCACCACTGATACCGGCGGAAACCCTGAACAGTTTGGGCGTGGTCCTGGAGACCTCCTTCTCCACGGAGGCCCAGGCCACAGGGTGTAGCGATGGCCACTCCCTTGAAGGGGGAACAGACAGATTCATGGAATATATACCCCAGAGAGCACTGCTGTCGGGGTCACAACGTCTTTATTTAGCAGTTTCTTCACCCTTTGTCCCTGAGCCAGGGAATTTATCCCTGATAGGGATCAGTGAAGCAGCCACACATTTTCCAGATGCTTTTGGCCTACGAATCATAGAGCATGTTGTGGGCCTGTATAGTTCTGCTTCTGTTTTACTGAACTTGTACTGAGAGTAAACGATATATGTCACCTTGTAAGCACTCTGTTTATTTTCATTTAAATTATTAACCATTCTTCAATCCGTATATATAGGATGTATAACTGCTGAATTGAAAACTTGGATGGTATATCTTAGAGCGCGCCATCTAATTTAAGGAATGCTGCGAGCACTTTACATGTTTTAAATGTTAGGAATGTTTTAGCCGTTTTAAAATGTTTCAAAAGTTTTATCTTGACTAGGTACATTGTACCGACTTTTGTAAGCCGCCCTGAGCCTGTTCGCGGGGAGGGCGGGGTATAAATACAAATGATAAATAAATAAATGGAAGGCAATCCCCATTCTTATCTACATAAATTAAAACCTTGGCGTCTCACCTTCCTTCCTTCCGTCAGAAGGATTCAAGGTGACTCAAATAAAGAAAAGGAAGACAAATTTCGGTGCAGCTGTTAACCCACAATAAATAAGTGGAACCTCCATGTTCTCCTGACCTAGGTGATCAAGACTAGCCCACTCTTATCAGATCTCGAAGCTGAGCAGAGTCAGCTCTGGTTCGTATTTGGATGGGAGACCAGCAAAGAAGTCCAGGGTTGCTCTGCAGAGGCAGGGAATGGCACACCATCCCTGAATGTCTCTTGCTTTGAATAACTGTGGGGGTCACCGTAAGTCGGCTGTGACTTGAGGCCGCTTTCCACACACACACAGACATTCACACCATGCTCAGAGGCCGCCGACCTCCGAAAACCCGTTGCCAGTGGCCAACGATTTCGTTTCTGTGCCCCTGCTCAAAGGCTTTCCAGGGACACCTTGAGGGATGTTGTCACGTACTTGAGCTCCGGAGTTCACAGGGCACATTTCAAGTCTCACAGGAGTCTTGAAACATCTCGCCAGAATGTCTAGCCCCCCTCCCCCCTGGATGGTCATGGGCACCTGGTGCTTCTCTTCTGCATGTCCCACACTTTACTAAACTTCACAACAATTTTTTCTGAGTGTATAAAGGGCAAAGTTTCACGATCCTGAGAAGGGGTGTGTGTGAAGGAGGAGGAGGAGATTGGATTTATACCCTGCCCTTCACTTGGAGTCTCAGAGCGGCTTACAAACTCCTTTCCCTTCCCCTCCCCACAACAGACACCCTGGGAGGTGGGTAGGGCTGAGAGAAGTGGAGGAGTGGGGAATCAAACTGGGTTCTCCCAGATTAGAGTCCGCACACTTAACCACTACACCAAACTGGCTCTGAGAGGGTTGGAAGATTGGAACAAGCCAATGAACTTGAGTCAAGGCGGTCCGGGGGTAGGGATCCCACTTCCGACCTTCGATGGGACACCATTGGTGCCAGCGCTGGAGGTTAGGAGCTTGGAAGTGCTCTTGGACGCCTCTTTAACGATGGAGGCCCCAGTAGCTGCCACTGCCAAGTCAGCATTTTACCATCTTCGACTGATTAGGCAGTTGGTTCCCTTCCTCGGATGCAGCGACTTAGCAACGGTGATCCCTGCGATGGTCACCTCGAGATTAGACTACTGTAACGCTGTCTGCATGGGGCTGCCCTTGTCGCAAATCCGGAAGCTGCAGCTAGTGCGAAACGCTGCAGCCAGGCTGCTGATGGGTCTTCCCATGAAGGAGCACATCCAGCCTGTCCTGAAGGCATTGCACTGGCTGCCGATAGCATACCAAATTCGCTTCGATGTGCTGGTTCTTACCTTTAAAGCCCTTTATGGCCAGGGTCCGACATACCTGGGGGACCGCCTTTCCCCATATATACCCCAGAGAGCACTTCGGTCAGGGTCACAAAATTGTTTGGCCCTCCAAGGACCCAAGGACACCAGGCTGGCTGTAACCAGGGCAAGAGCTTTCTCAGTGGCAGCTCCACACCGGTGGAACGAGCTCCCAGAAGAGACCAGGGCCCTGTGGGACCTTTTGCAGTTCTGCAGGGCCTGCAAGACGGAGCTCTTCCACCAGGCCTTCGGTTAGGAGCCATCACCATCACCAGGGGTCATTTCGTAGAAGAAGAGGTGCAGGAGCTCATTAGCATAACTTATTTGCATATGCCACGCCCCCTGACATCACCGGAGGTGTGTCAGCAGGCAACACCCACCGCTCAGGCTCCACTGGACTGTTTTGGATTGCTAGATATGGGGGGGAAATGCACAGATCTGCCCTCACAGATGAGGGAGAGCTTGTACCTGAAGGCGGGCGGGAGGGGGGGCCTCTGCAACTTACCTGGCTGCTTCTTGCTCCTTGTGGCTGACTGAGGGCTGCTAGGAGCAGGGGCAGGGCTTGTTGCATGTGGCTGCCCCCTGGGCTCCTTACTGCCGGGGCGGCGCTCCTGTGTGCTCCTGCAGGAAATGACCCCTGACTAATCGTAGCACCTGGTGCCTGGTCTACTACTGACATAAGAACATAAGAGATGCCAATGTTGGATCAGGCCAAAGGCCCATCCAGTCCAACACTCTGTGTCACACAGTGGCCAGAAATACCGGGTGCCATCAGGAGGGCCAGCAGTGGGGCCAAGACACTAGAAGCCTTCCCACGGTTGCCCCTCCCCCAAGCACCAAGAAGACAGAGCATCACTTGCCCCAGACATAAGATCATAAGAGACGCAAATCCTCTTTCCCGACCTGCTCTATCCCATGCATAATCTTATAAACCTCGATCATGTCACCCCTCAGTCATCGTTTCTCCAAGCTAAAGAGCCCTAAGTGCTTTAACCTTTCCTCATAGGAAAGGTGGGCCTGCCGTTCAGATATGAGAAGATCAACCAGTTGAATACTCAGACAATCTGTACAATGTATAAAGGTAAAGGCTCCCTTGCTCGAAAGCCAGTCAAATCCGACTCTAGGGTTGCGGTGCTTATCTCAGTTTCAAAGCCGAAGAGCCAGCGCTGTCCGAAGACGTTTCTGTGGTCATGTGGCAGGCATGACTAAACACCAAGGCGCATGGAACGCTATACAATGTATAGTGCCATCTATATGATAAAAACATCATTCCTAGCACTTTATATTGTATAATAATGTAGTTTTAATGAATTCTTTTGACAGTTTTATGATACTTGATTATTATTATGTTTTATCGTGTAAGCCGCCCTGAGCCTTCTTAGGCGGTGAGGGCGGGGTATAAATTTGAAGAAATAAATAAAATAAATAAACTCGGTCGACACCCTTCCTTCCTCCTTTGTCTCTCTCTCCCTCAGGTGGTGAAGAAACGGTGCTGAGCCATCTATTTTGTAGAGATCTGGAAAGGGCTGCAGGACCTGCACTCCAGGTAGGGGAGATGACTGGGGGGACAGCGTGGGTCCCCCTTCTTCTCAAGGGGTCCTTTTGCTCCTGCAGTTGTCCCTAAGGAGCCTGAGCGACAGAGGTTCTAAAGGCCACTCCCTTCACCCCTGCCAAGCCTTCCTGTACCCTCCGAGACTTCCCCCTTCCCGTGTGCATTCCCTGCCTGGCACGGTCTCTGACGAGGGAATCTGCTTTTTCTTTTCAGTCTCCATTTTCCTTTGAGGAGGTGGCCGTGTATTTCACCGATGCAGAGTGGGCCCTGCTGGATCCGGGACAAAGAGCTCTCCACTGGGAAGTCATGGTGGAGAACTACGGGATGGTGGCCTCCCTGGGTAAGGATCTTCCATGGGTGGCAAAGGTGCAAATTGATGGCACTGGGATAACGCATGAATCAAAACATTGAACAGCAATGCGTTGTTTTGATACTTGACTCCTATTTGGGGTCTCCAAGAATCATGGGGTGGGATCATTAAATATGGGATATCCCAGGAAAGGTGGACGGTTGCTTAAGAACAGGGAAGATAGAAGCGGCCAATGGATCGTGAACTGTTTCTACAGTCTTCACCTAGATGCCTTACCAGCAATGCTGTCTCTAAGCTATGGAGTCCTGTGAGCACAAACTCTACTTTGCAAGCTCCTGGCATTAAAGTTGTGAGTGAGCGATCTGGCTGCGGCATAAATTAGTTTGCTCTGTGGGCCGGAGGCTAAAAAACTGTGAGCTAGCTCACACTAACTCAGCGTAGAGGGGACACTGCTTACCAATACCCTCACCACAAACTGGCACATCTTCCAAAAACCACTGGGGGAGTGGGTTTGCATTGAGGGGCTCACTTTTTAAAATCTTGCGGGGGGGGGTTATTGGGACTTAAGATGGAAGAGGTCAATATGGCAAGAAGAACATTGATGTGGTATATGATCACAACTGCCAGAATGACGTATGCTCAAAGTTGGAAACAAGATAAAGTCCCAGGAGTGGGAGAATGGATTTAAAAATTACTTTTTATGGTTGAAATGGACAAAATGACAAGGAAACTTAAAAATTTGGAAGCAGAACAATTTTTTGCAGATTGGTAAGATTTGAAAGAATATTCAGAGAAATACTGGGATGTGAAGGACAATTTGCTTTGCTTCGATAACTATTGAAATACAAAGGTTAATAGAATAGAGATAACTATATAACGTATAAGAACAATAGTTGAAAATGAAGTTACCTATAGATGTGAAATAAAGGTGAAAGGAGCAACAAATAGAATTTAAGACATGGGCTGGAGGTTGGAGCACTGTGGGAAGCCTAAAAGGGGGGGGAGGGAAAGGTGGAAAGGATATATAATAATGTAATTTTGATATATGTTTGACTTATTATATCCCAATAAAACTGTGTTTTTTAAAAAAAAATCTTGGGGGGGGGGGTCCCTCTGACAGCAAACAAGCATTTTTGGGAGGCTGAAAACCAGCCCCTCCTGGCTCTTGTCACAACTGGAAGAAGATAAGAGAATGGATTTATACCCCACCCTTCACTACCCAAAGGTGTCCCAGAGCAGCTTACAAACTCCTTCCCCTTCCCCTCTCAGTGCAGTCGCAGGGCTGGGTATCATGATAACTTCTTGTTCTCAAGGGCAGAGGATCAAAAGAGCTGTGCAGAAACTTAAATGCAAACAGTGGGGGAATCATTCTTTGCCACTTTCCCCCTTAAAATACCTACCGGGAAGGGGGGGGGGATAGGTATAATATAAGAACAGCTGTACTGGAGGGCCTGGATGGGGCGAGGTGTGACCAGCTACTCAGTTTAGTTGGAAACCAGCTCTGATAAAAGAATTGCACACCCATGAATGCCCAGAGCCTGATTGGCAGTTTGGCTTCTTGTGTGCCTCCCGATTGTCAGCAAGCTGCCAAAGGTTCATTACTGTGTGTATGATGTGAAAAAACCCCTCCCCGTTCGTTTTTGTCAAACCTCTCATGCGCATGCCTACCCAGGCTTTCATGCGCTCATCTTTCTGTAACATACATTCCTTTCTATGAATGCTAGTTTTGCTTTGAAGTAATGCTATCAGGCCAAGGCCACAGGTGGGGGAAAAGCCGGCTTGCTTTGTCTTCTTTAATGAGCAGTAGTGTGGGAATAGAGTAACTGTTTATCTGTCTTGGGCCGTTGATTCTCAGGCTCTAGGTGCAAACCTGACAGCTCAGCCAAGCGAGCGGGAACCATGTCTATTGGTTAATGTAATTATGAACCTGCTTTATCCTAGCCTACCCTGGCCATTTTCCTTATTCTGAACAGTGCCCTTGTTCCAGTTTTCCATGGCTACAATAAAGTAAAACCTTTCTACAGTGTGTGCTTAATTGACTGCTGTGGGATCTGACACCGATTAGACCTCTTTCTTTATTCCCACAGGGACTGATCAGAGGAACGAGGAAGATGAGGAACTTCATCACCTATTGCCAGACGGAGTCAAGAATGAAGACTTGAGAGGAAACTTGAGGAATCAAGACATATGTAAGAGACAAAAAGGAAACCACATGATCGAGAATAGGGATAAAACCATTCCTTGCCTGGAGGGGGATTTGCACGAAGTAATTCACATGGTGGAGGAAACTTACAAGTGCTTGGAGTGTGGAATGAACTTCTCAGATCAAACCCAATATAATATCCATTTACGAAGGCACAGTGGAAAGAATACCCATCAATGCCTAGAGTGTGGAAAGAGCTTCATTTGTAGAGCAGAACAAATTAGGCATCTAAGAACACATACAAGAGAGAACCCTTATAGCAGTTCACCCTGTGGCAGGAGCTTCTCAGAGAAATCAGACTTTGTTCATTCAGGAGAGAAACCATTTACCCCTTCAGAGGGTGAAATAAGATTCTCTCATGGACACAGGGGTAATAAACATTTTCCAAAGCACAACATAATGAAGGTCCATAAATCACAGCTCCTTGTGCACCGAAGAATCCAGAGAGTGGAGAAATGTTCTGAGTATGTAGAGGGTGGAAAGAGGTCCAGTTGGAGTGGTACTCCTAAAGAACATCAAAGAATGCACACAGGGGACAAACCTTATAAATGCTCAGAGTGTGGAAAGAGGTTCAGACACATTGGCACTGTTCAGTATCATCAAAGAACACACACAGGGGAGAAACCTTTTGAGTGCTCAGAGTGTGGAAAGAGATTCAGTCACCTTGGCAATCTTAAGGTGCACCAAAGAACCCACACAGGGGAGAAACCTTTTGTATGCTCAGAATGTGGAAAGAGATTCACTCAGAGTAGCCATCTTCAACAGCATCAGAGAACCCACACAGGAGAGAAACCCTTTGAATGCTCAGAGTGTGGAAAGAAGTTCAGTGTGAGCAGCACACTTCAGGACCATCTAAGAACCCACATGGGCGGGAAACCGTGTGAATGCTCAGAGTGTGGAAAGAGATTCAGTAGGAGTCGCCATCTTCAATACCATCAAAGAACCCACACAGGGGAGAAACCTTTTGAGTGCTCAGAGTGTGGAAAGAGATTTGGTCACTTTAGCAATTTTCAGGTGCACCAAAGAACCCACACAGGGGAGAAACCTTTTGAATGCTCAGAATGTGGAAAGAGATTCAGTCAGAGTAGCCATCTTCAGCAGCATCAGAGAACCCACACAGGGGAGAAACCTTTTGAATGCTCAGAGTGTGGAAGAAAGTTCAGTCAGAGCGGCACTCTTCATCAGCATCTAAGAACCCACATGGGGGGGAAACTATGTGAATGCTCAGTGTGTGGAAAGAGATTCAGTACGAGTGGCTTTCTTCGATATCATCAAAGAACACACACAGAGAAGAAACCTTTTGAATGCTCAGAGTGTGGAAAGAAATTTAGACTGAGTGGCCAGCTTCATCGGCACCAGAGCTCCCACACAGGGGAGAAACCTTTTGAATGCTCAAAGTGTGGAAAGAGATTCAGTCGGAATGGCCTTCTTAAACGGCATCAAAGGACACACACAGGGGAGAAACCTTTTGAATGCACGCAGTGTGGAAAGAAATTCAGTCAGAGTGGCCTTCTTAAACGGCATCAAAAAACACACACAGGGGAGAAACCTTTTGAATGCACACAGTGTGGGAAGAACTTCAGTCAGAGTAGCCATCTTCAACAGCATCAGAGAACCCACACAGGAGAGAAACCCTTTGAATGCTCAGAGTGTGGAAAGAAGTTCAGTCTGAGTGGCACTCTTCATGACCATCTAAGAACCCACACGGGGGGGAAACCTTTTGAATGCTCAGAGTGTGGAAAGAGATTCAGTAGGAGTAGCCATCTTCAATATCATCAAAGAACACACACAGGGGAGAAACCTTTTGAATGCTCAGAGTGTGGAAAGAAATTTAGACTGAGTAGCCAGCTTCAGCAGCACCAGAGCTCCCACACAGGGGAGAAATCTTTTGAATGTTCACAGTGTGGAAAGAGATTCAGTCAGAGTGGCACTCTTCAACAGCATCAGAGAACCCACACAGGGGAGAAACCTTTTGAATGTTCAGAGTGTGGAAAGGGATTCAGTCAGAGAAGCCATCTTCAACAGCATCAGAAAACCCACACAGGGGAGAAACCTTTTGAATGCTCAGAGTGTGGAAAGAGATTCACTCAGAGAAGCCATCTTCAGCATCATCAAAAAACCCACACAGGGGAGAAACCTTTTGAATGCTCAGAGTGTGGAAGGAGATTCACTCAGAGTGGCAGTCTTCAGTGTCATCAAAAAACCCACACAGGGGAGAAACCTTTTGAATGCTCAGAGTGTGGAAAGAAATTCAGTCGGAGTGGCAGTCTTCAGTGTCATCAAAGAACCCACACTGGGGAGAAACCTTTTGAATGCTCAGAGTGTGGAAAGAGATTCAGTAGGAGTAGCCATCTTCAATATCATCAAAGAACACACACAGGGGAGAAACCTTTTGAATGCTCAGAGTGTGGAAAGAAATTTAGACTGAGTAGCCAGCTTCAGCAGCACCAGAGCTCCCACACAGGGGAGAAATCTTTTGAATGTTCACAGTGTGGAAAGAGATTCAGTCAGAGTGGCACTCTTCAACAGCATCAGAGAACCCACACAGGGGAGAAACCTTTTGAATGTTCAGAGTGTGGAAAGGGATTCAGTCAGAGAAGCCATCTTCAACAGCATCAGAAAACCCACACAGGGGAGAAACCTTTTGAATGCTCAGACTGTGGAAAGAGATTCACTCAGAGAAGCCATCTTCAGCATCATCAAAAAACCCACACAGGGGAGAAACCTTTTGAATGCTCAGAGTGTGGAAAGAAATTCAGTCGGAGTGGCAGTCTTCAGTGTCATCAAAGAACCCACACTGGGGAGAAACCTTTTGAATGCTCAGAGTGTGGAAAGAAATTCAGTCGGAGTGGCAGTCTTCAGTGTCATCAAAGAACCCACACTGGGGAGAAACCTTTTGAATGCTCAGAGTGTGGAAAGAGATTCAGTCACAGTGGCAGTCTTCAGTGTCATCAAAGAACTCACACAGGGGAGAAACCTTTTGTATGTTTAGAGTGTGGAAAGAGATTCAGTCGGAGTGGCTATCTTCAAGAGCATCATAGAACACACACAGGAGAGAAACCTTTTGAATGCTCAGAGTGCGAAAAGAGCTTCAGTTGGAAGAGTACTCTTCAAAAACATCTAAGATCCCACGTAGCCTGTGAAAAGCACTGAAATGATATAAAGTGTTGTAAAGAGCTGAAATCTACACAGAAACCTTACCCTTATTGGGAAGAAACGTTATGAATGGTAGGACTGTGGAAAGAGCTTTAGCCACATTCAAACCCTCAAATAAATCGCATAAAGAAGAAATCAAGGATGACGATGGGCTCAGTGGGTTGAAGGATCAGCTGATATATCCTTTAGCGTTGAGGAGTACACCCAGTAGAGGAACTCCATCAATGCTTAGTGTGTGGGAAAAGCCTGAGTCTCAGATCTAAGTTTCCTGTTCTTCAGAGAATCCATATGAGGGTGAACTTCTTTAGGAATAGCTGGTTCTGATGAGAGTGTTCTTCAAATGCACATGTTTTGGAGGTTCAAAAAGGCTCAAGAAAGTAGTTACACAAAGAAAGGCCTTTTTAACTAGTGTGGTATAAAAGTTAAGAGCAGTAGACTCTAATCTGGAGAACTGTGTTTGATTCCCCACTCTTCCACATGAAGGCAGCTGGGTGACGTTGTGCCAGTCAAAGTTCTCTCAGAGCTCTCCCAGCCCCACCTTCTTCACAGGGTGTCTGTTGTGGGGAGAGGAAGGGAAGACGATTGTAAGCCTGTTTGAGACGGAAATACTTAAGGAAAACGGAGTTCAAGAGGTGTGGGAGTTTCTTAAAAGTTAAATATTGAAGGCGCAATCACAAACAATTCCACTGAGAAGGAAAAATGGAAGGAGCCTAAAAAAGCTAAGGTGGCTCCATAAGCTGCTTTCTAAAGATTTGAGAAGTAAAAAAGACCCTTTTAGGAAATGGAAGGAGTGCCTTATAACCAAGGATGAATATAAACAAATAACCAGTGCGTGTAGGGAGGGTGTTAGAAAAACTAAATCTCAGAATGAGTGTAGGCTAGCAAGAGATGCTAAAACAACAAAAACGGGTTCTTTGGTTATGTTCAGAGTAAGAAAGCAAGGACATGGTAGGCCCATTGCAGGGACAGGAAAGTGTAATTGTAACAGGTGATGAAGAGAGGGCAAAACTGCTCAGTTTCTACTTTTCCTCAGTCTTCTCTCGTGAGGGAAATGGTGCTCAACATGGCAAAAACAGAACACATGATAAGGGAAGGGAGTTGCAGCCTAGGATCGTCATAGGAGTAGTGCATAAACACCAAGTTTCTTTTAATGTAACTAAGTCCTCAGGGCCAGATGAACTGCATCCAAGGGTACTAAACAAACTTGCAGATGTGATTTCAGAGCCTCTGTCCATTATTTTTGAGAATTCTTGCAGAACAGGTGAGGTGCCAGAGGATTGGAGAGAGGCAAATGTTGTCCCCATCTTCGAGAAGGGGAAAAAAGGAGGATCCGGGTAACTACTGACCCGTCAATTTGACATCTATACCTGGAAAAGTTTTAGAACAAATAATCAAACAGTCAGTCCTTGAACATTTAGGGAGGACGGTTGTGAATTACTAAGAGCCAGCATGGGTTTGTCAAGAACAAGTCATGTCAGACTAACCTTGTCTCTCTTTTTTTTTTGAGAAAGTTACTACCTTACTGGATCAGAGGAATGCTGTAGACATAGTTTATCATGATTTCAGTAAGGCTTTTGATAAGGTTCCACATAATATTCTTGTTGACAAGTTGGTAAAATGTGGTTTAGATCCTATTACTGTTAGGCAGATTTGTAACTGGTTAACAGATCGCACCCACAGTGTGCTTGTGAATGGTTCCTCATCCTCTTGGAGAAGAGTGACTAGTGGAGTGCCTCAGGGATATGTCCTAGGACCTGTTTTGTTGTGTGAAAAGGGTCTAGGAGTCTTAGTAGACCATACACTGAACATGAGTCAGCAGTGTGATGCGGCAGTTAAAAAGGCAAATGTGATTTTAGGCTGTATTGTTCTTGCGGTCTGGGGGAGATAGAAAGTACTGAACATGTTCTCCTGCACTGTATATTTTACTGTGATACTCGTGCCATATATCTAGAACCTCTGCTACAAATTTGCAAGGGTCAATCTGATGTTTGCAAGACGGTTTTTTTACTATCTTCCCATAACTCTGAGATCACTGATTTGGTGGCTAAATTTCTATGTTGTGCTAAGAGGAGAGGAATGTTTAAACTCCAGCAATGAAGGTTGTACCCTTTATCCCTTGATGATCTATGTTTTGTTGTGATGCCAGTAAAGGTAGCTGATGATGATTTTAGGCTGTATCAAAAGAAGTATAGGGTCCAGATCACGTGAAGTGATGGTGTCAGTTTACTCTGCTCTGGTTAGACCTCACCTAGAGTATTGTGTTCAGTTTTGGGCACTGCAGTTTAAGAAGGATGTAGACAAGCTGGAACGTGTACAGAGGAGGGCAACGAAGATAGTGAGGGGTCTGGAGACCAAGTCGTACGAGGACAGGTTGAAGAAGTTGGGTATGTTTAGTCTGCAGATGAGGCGCCTGAGATGTAATATGATCACCATCTACAAGTACTTGAAGGGCTGTCGTATAGAGGATGGTGCGGAGTTGTTTTCTGTTGCCCCAGAAGGTCAGACCAGAAACAACAGGGTAGAAATTAAATCAAAAGAGTTTTCGGCTGAACATTTGGAAGAACTTTCTGACGGTTAGAGTGGTTCCTCAGTGGAATAGGGTTCCTCAGGAGGTGGTGGACTCTCCTTCTTTGGAGGTTTTTAAGCAAAGGCTAGATGTCCCTCTGTCAGCAATTCACATTCTATGAACTTTGGCAGATCATGTACGAGAGGGTAGAAAGAGTTGTATCAATGCTGGGGTCTCGCAGTCCTTTCTACATGCCAGGGAGATGCCAATTGCCACTTCGGGGTCAGGAAGCAATTTTCCTGTTGGCCAGGGAGGGTTTATTTATCTATTTGGTCATCTTCTGGGCATGGAGCAGGGGTCACTTGGGATGTGGGGGGAGGTAGTTGTGATTTTCCTGCATTGTGCAGGGGTTGGACTAGATTACCCTGGAGGTTCCTTCCAATTCTGTGATTCTGTGATTCCTTCAAGTAGAGAAAAGCAGGGTATAAAAACCAACTCTTCTTCTTCGCCCTCCTCTATGAAACTTACTATTTCAGGGTATCTGCCAAGCTAATTCTTTCTGACACCTGCAGTTTAAAGTATGGCTGTTACGTACAAAGTATTAAAGTATTGGCTATTAAATACAAAGCCCTTCATGGCCTTGGACCGTCATATTTGTGAGACCGCCTCTCCCACTGTGCTGCCACAACAGGTTCACTCATCTGAGTGACGTCTTCTGCAATAGAGTCGCATTGTACTAAATGACTCACAAAATTACTTGGATAAATGATTAGGGACTACGGTCTATGCTACTTGGATAAAGTTACTTGGATAAATGCTTAGGACTACGGTCTATGCTACTGGGTTCTACTTACTGAAAGTAGGCTCCCACTGTGTAAATTTGAAATCATTTAATGAAAATAATGAAATCATTTAATCACTTATGGTTTGGCTTTACTCCTGTTTTTAGATTTCTGATTGGTTCTGCAACCCCAATTCTATTGTGTCGTTTATTAGTTGATCGTATTGACTCACTGGATGAAATCTGCCTTGAGTCCAAATGAGAAAGGCAAACTATAAACAACATAAACAAATAAATAAATACTATCCGGCTGAGGATGCTTATCTCCCCAAGTCACACCCTCTTTAAGGCACAACCCCCAAATCTCCAAGAATGTGTCAGCCTGTAACTGGCAATGCTAGGAAGGCCTGGACCCCATGAGACCTCCCTCAAAGGCCAACCCCCCCCAAATAACCCTGGAAAGGACCCTGACCTCTCCCCTTGCCTTTCACTCACAGAAACCCAATATGAAATGCTGTGGTTGCCAAGCAACAGTCACTGAGGCAATCCATGCCTTAAAACTATGTGTGTTCTTTCATTTTTCCTAATATACTGTACATTTTTCTGCAACCCTGAGGAATTTTTCAGTTTGTAGAAAGATCTGTCTTCCCCTTCACCATTCCAATCACTGCATTTAGGTATGCTCAGATTTAGCTAACTTCACTATTAAGATATATGGGCCCCGGTCACACGGGCAGGAAACTGCGGGGGAGAAGCGTTGCTGTTTGCCCTGGGGCAAACTACTGCGCAGTTACGCGATCAGACCTCCTGTGGAGGTCCTGTGGAGGTACCGTGGAGGTTCCATGGCAAGGGAGAGGTGCCGATCACAGGACAAGCCGGCGCACAACGAAGAAGCGCGCGCCGCGGCAAACTGTTTTTTATTTTTGTGTACATGACAAATGCGCATGCTCCGTTGGGTGCGCATGCGCATCCACAGAGATTTGGACAAAAAAACCCCAGCTTATTTGCAAGGGGACATGGGCGGGCGCCGGATGCCACCGGAAACGCGATCAGACGCCCGCCCTTGCCCCGCAGTTTTTTGCCACGCAGTTTCGGCTGGAAGCCTCGGTTGAGCCACGGGAGTGCTACTCTTCCCAGATGTGCTGGTGAGATCGCGCCCGGAAACTCCGCCTGTTTTCCATCTCACTTGTGTGGCTTCTGTTCCGTGTGACCGCAGCCATGATTTATTTTATTAAAACATGGCCCATTTTCCTTGTGGTTCAAGTGAGTTATGGCAATACTTGGGTCTTCATTTTATTTATAATATCTCTTCGTAATCCCATTGCAAATCAGCAATTAATGTAGCTACTACTAACGCATCAGCCAATTGACATTACTTTTTTTAATAAAGGCAATCAGTTTGTTCCAGCTGCGGTAAAAGTATTTAAATCTAAAGTAATTGCACAATTACTGTATGGTATTCTAGTATGGATTAGCGCCTTTGAGGCTGGTACCAGAAGAGTTCAATCCAAGTTTGTGTGGAAAATCATGGGTTTGCCCTGCCATGTTCCGTAGCTGTTCTTAGTCTAGAAACAGGCCTAACTTTGGTAGAAACAAGAGCATGACTCATGCCAATTAAATATTGGCCACGAGTGCGCTACAATGCTGGCCCCAGGAGCTTTTTACATCAAAGAAGAAGAAGAAGAGATTGGATATATACCCCGCCCTTCACTACCCAAAGGAATCTCAGAGCGGCTTACAAACTCCTTTCCATTCTCCCCACAACAAACACCCTGTGAGGTAGGTGGGGCTGAGAGAATTCTGAAAGAAAGTGCTCTTTTTCAAGGACAGCCGTGGCAGAATTATGGCTTGCCCAAGGTCGTCCAGCCAGGTGCAAGTGGAGGAGTGGGGAATCAAACCCAGTTCTCCCAGATTAGAGTCACTACACCAAACTGGCTCTATCATCTCCAGCTGGACTGCCTGCATAGAGAGGGGGGGGGGGAAATAACCACAATGGGCTTATTTTTAGATTTATTACTTATGTTTCAATTTCCAAATGCATACCGGTCAATCAAACGCAGAATCCTAGACATCGAACTGCAAAAGTTAGCCAGTTCTGCAAAAAAATAAATAAATAAAAAATCCTGCTCCCCTCCGAATTTTGAAATTCCTCTAATTATCAGTCGACTGGCATCCTATTGATCTGCCCCTTATGCTCCACAAATGTGCAGAGCATTTGCGCTTGCTAGGCACAATGCTATTCCATCTGCAGTCACGGCAGATGTAACAAGATGGCATATTCTGCAAGACTCTGTTGCTTGTCATTTAGTAAACAAAATTTTTATTTTCATAGGAATTCAACATTTAACATTCAATCATTTTCACTTTACCATTGTTTACCCCATTCCCATTTCCTCCCTTCCCCTCTGTGGCTTCCCGCAATGCTTCCCCCCCAACTCCACCTTACTATACTTCATCCATTATATCATTTTCTTATCATTACAATCTCAAGATAACATCATTTAACTTAATATTGATCTAAACATATTAAATTTTGTTTCACATCCCAGTTCTTTTCCAGATGTTGCTTGTCATTTAGAATCAGTTGGTTTGCTTTCCCATCCCCTCCTTTATCGTTCCCAGTATGCTGATACACGTTCTAACCTTTTAGATTCAATTTTACTGAATTTGTCGGGCCATTCAGATGCATTGGTGGTGTACCGTCTTCTCAACGACTCGTTACCTGAATTAAAAAGTAGCTCTATTTTTAAGTTTGGTAATCAATTGAACATTGGTTAACTCTTTATACTTAAACTATCCTTGTTACCGCTGTATTTGCCTGTTGTCTGTACGGATAAATTGATAAATGCCAATAAAGGCTTTTGTGTTGAATTCTTGTACTTAAATACATTTTCAGCTAAATCCAACAGTAGTATAGCAAACCCCACATCTCTCTCCTCTTTCCCCCTTAAAAGATGCCTGCCATTCAAGAGCCCGCTAAAGCCCCAGCAAACAGGTAGGCCTGGTGGTTCTTCCGGGAGATCTCCAAGGAGGGGCCCCGACTCACCTCTTCAGGGAGCCCAGGTAAATGGTGGATCTCAGATTGGTTGTCTGCCAAAATACCAGGTTTTTGGTTATTGTGAGAATGCCTCTGAGTTCTTTTGTGTAGGAGAGATGTAGAAACCTCCCATTTACAGGAGGGGGGGAAATCTAATAAAGAGTGTTGCATGCCCAGTTTATGAAACACTGTTATACCCTTTGTACTCTGCCACTGACAAACAGGTTAACTTAGTAGCTAGCTACACTTAGCACTTCCATGGTGCAGATGCTAAGTGCCATTTATGATTCTAACCACACAAACAGAAATCAACCATGAACATATATTCAGATGGTAACTTTGGTTCATTTATGGCTATTGCTTAAAATGCATGCTGGGAGAATAAGCATCCTGTGACCATATCAGTTCTGTGGAGCTGCAGTGGCTCAAGTGGTTAAGACGCTGAACTGCAGGCTGTGGAAGGTTGTTAGTTCAGCAGTTCGAGACCCGGGTGCCGCATGATGGAGTGAGCTCCCATCTAGTTCCAGCTCCTGCCAACCTAGCCGTTCGAAAGCAAGAAATTGCAAGTAGATAAATAGGTAGCTCTTCGGCTTTGAAACAGATGGATTCGACTGGCTTTCGAGCAAGGGAACCTTGCAAAGGGGTCAGGAACTGTGAGGTATATAACAAGAAAGCTAAGCAGTTAAGACCTAACTAAAACAGTAATGAACTGCAGGCTGTGGAAGGTCGGTAGTTCAGCAGTTCGAGACCTGGGTGCCGCATGATGGAGTGAGCTCCTGTCTCTAGTTCCAGCTCCTGCCAACCTAGCAGTTCGAAAGCAAGAAATTGCAAGGAGATAAATAGGGACCACTTCGGTGGGAAGGGAACAGCGTTCCGTGCGCCTTGGTGTTTAGACATGCCGGCCACATGACCACGGAAACGTCTTCGGACAGCGCTGGCTCTTCGGCTTTGAAACAGATGAGCGCCGCAACCCTAGAGTCGGATTCGACTGGCTTTCGAGCAAGGGAACCTTGCAAAGGGGTCAGGAACTGTGAGGTATATAACAAGAAAGCTAAGCAGTTAAGACCTAACTAAAACAGTAATGAGCTGCGGTGGCTCAAGTGGTTAAGACGCTGAACTGCAGGCTGTGGAAGGTCGGTAGTTCAGCAGTTCGAGACCCGAGTTGCTGCATGATGGAGTGAGCTCCCGTCTCTAGTTCCAGCTCCTGCCAACCTAGCAGTTCGAAAGCAAGACATTGCAAGTAGATAAATAGGGACCACTTCGGTGGGAAGGTAACAGCGTTCTGTGCACCTTGGTGTTTAGTCATGCCGGCCACATGACCACGGAAACATCTTCGGACAGTGCTGGCTCTTCGGCTTTGAAATGGAGATGAGCACCGCAACCCTAGAGTCAGTCTCGACTGGCTTTCAAGCAAGGGAACCTTTACCTTTACCTAAAACAGTAATACAGTGGCTCCAAATTACCAGGCGCTACCCAATCTTAGCTGAAGGTTGGGGGCGTGGCTTGGCGGCCAGTAATGGTGGTCGCTTAAGAAGCTTTCTCCTCCACTTTTCCCACTATAATCGCTCTTGCAACCTTCAAATCGAACCTGTTTCAGACAAAAAACATAATGGGCAAAACAGGAGCAACTCGGGCATCGAAAGCTGCTATCAACCCACACCAGGTGACAAAATTTCTGGTCAGGGAGCCGATCAAACAATCCTCAGGCCGTTCGTCAGCCCCGGACCACAAAATGGCGCCGGATCATTTAGAGGAAGAAGACGACGGCACGATGCCTACTCGTTTTGAATTTCAAACGACTATAAGCCGCCTGGAAACGGTGATAGCTGACCAGGTTCGCCTTGCCATTCAACCTCTCTTTGAAGTCAATCACCTCCACCCTCTCCGAAGTATCACAAGCGTCTGAGTCCGCTTTGGAAACAGCTATTGCCGCCCAAGAAGACATCCAGAACTTACAATCTTAGCTGAAGGTTCTCAGCAGAATCCAAAGTCTCTCTCCAGAGTCAGTTTGGGCCAGGCAGCTGTTTGGCCAACCAGGAGCAAGCTTTCAAGATGGCTGCCGTGAGCCAGGCAGCAAGGCGAGGCATCCCCCCTTCACGCTGTCAGGTTACCAAATAGACTGGAAACAAACTTCTATATGGTTCGGGGGTCCAACGTGGTCTCGGGCCTGGTAGAGCAATAGGATCCCTTGATGTAACTCCTTGTTATTGGGCAAAGGACGATTTGACCAGGATGAGAGGAAACGAAGCTTCTCTGCAGGTAGCTTCTGCTCTTTCCCACAGGTGCAAATCACGAGCCTCAGTTGAAAGGAATTGGAACAACGTGGTCAACTTGCTCTACTTTGCAATAAGAACGTAAGAGACGCCAATGTTGGATCAGGCCAAAGGCCCCTCCAGTCCAACACTCTGTCACACAGTGGCCAAAAATACCAGGTACCATCAGGAGGTCCACCAGTGGGGCCCTGGTTTCCTGAACTCTGTTATCCCAAAAGCAGGCCTCGCTCAAGCCTGAACCAAAGTCTGAACAAGACAAGAAATGTAGGGAACCATTTTCCTTGACAGGGGCCCACAACAGAGAAGGCAGGTGTACAATCAGTTGTTGATTGTGCCCATTTGCAGAGTGGCCCCTAGAGGAGACCCTGCTCAGATGAGAGAAGCTGTCGTGGGGGAGAGGTAGTCCCACAGACAGGGGACACCAAGAAGAAGAAGAAAAGAGATTGGATTTATACCCCGCCCTTCACTACCCAATGGTGTCGAGGCGTGGCGTCTGCGCGAAAAGCAATGGACGTCTAAATACATGGCTCCCGCCAAAACTCTCTCAAACTAGCCTCAAAATCATCAAACAGTAAGTTTTTTTTTTCCTAACCCGGCATGGGAAATAAGCCCAATCCTGAATCTAGCCCTAGCTCAAAAGAAAATAAAACCGTTTCTTCTTATTTTATGAGAAACGCGAAACTGGGGCCCGCCGAAAAACGGACTGTTCTAGCTTCTAAAATGGCGGCCGGAGCTCCTGGGCAGCAAACGGAAAGCTTAGGAGTTAGCCGGGAAGAATTCCATGGCGCCCTACAAACGCTAGAAAGGAATATGGTATCTACCATAACGGACCTGTTAAAACCTATAATATCGGAGGTTAATGAATTAAAACAGACGGTAGCCCAAGTCGCACAAACCGCTGATACGGCTCTAGAGAGTAGCCTATTACTGCAAGACGACGCATACTATTTTTATAAAAAAGACGACTGGGCAACTGAAAAAATAATAAGCCTCGAGAACCAACTCAAAGCGAATAACGTTAAAATAAGAGGGATTTTGGAAAATGTAGCTCAAGCCTCAGATTTAAAACCATTTTTAACGGAATGGCTAATGAGACTTTTGGATCTGGGTCCCGAACAAACCCATATAATAGATGCAGCCTTCAGAGTTGGAGCTACAAAAAATCGGCAACCCAACTATCCCAGAGACGTGATTGTTAAACTGACAGACTAAAATAAAACACAAGCTCCTGGTTTTAGCCAGAACCAAAGATCCTTTACAGCTGCAAGGCAGCAAGATCCAAATATATCAGGACCTGACATCAGAAACGCTCCAAAAAAGAAAGGCGTTGAAACCAATCACACAAACGCTGTCAGCAGCTCAAATCACCTATAGATGGGTAGCTTACTACAAGCTTCAAGTTTCCGTGAACGGCACCACTCTACAGGCATCTGATTTAGAAACCGGCTTAAAGTTGCTACAAGCTCTCCAGCTTCAACCGTTTTCGGACCTTCCAACAGAAAACCCGCTCATCCCACCTCTCCCACGGGAACAAACCATCTCCCGCTGGCACAAGATAAGAGGCCGAAAGGACCGTGCAACAGGGCCATTATGAGGGATCAAAGCAACTACCCAATGGTGTCTCAGAGTGGCTTACAAACTCCTTTCCCTTCCCCCTCCCCACAACAGACACCCTGTGAGGTAGAAGAAGAAGAGAAGAGATTGGATTTATACCCCGCCCTTCACTACCCAAGGGAGTCTCAGAGGGGCTTACAAACTCCTTTTCCCCTCCCCTCCCCACAACAGACACCCTGTGAGGTAGAAGAAGAAGAAGAGATTGGATTTATACCCCACCCTTCACTATCCAAAGGTGTCTCAGAGTGGCTCACAAACTCTTTTCCCTTCCCCTCCCCACAACAGACACCCTGGGAGGTAGGCGGGGCTGAGAGAGCTCTTGACAGAAACTGCTCTTTTTCAAGAACAGCTCTTATCAGAACTACGGCTTGCCCAAGGTCATCCAGCCAGGTGCAAGTGGAGGAGTGGGGAATCAAACCCGGTTCTCCCACATTAGAGTCCGCGCACTTAACCACTACACCAAACAAGGCCACCAAGGGCTTTGTATGTGATAGCCAATACTTTAAAATGCGCCTGGGAACTGATGAGTAACCAATGGAGTGACCGCACAAGGGGGAGAATATGCGTCCTCCATTTACTTCCCATTAATAGCTGCACTGTGGTGTTCTGTGCCAGCAGCAGTCTCCGTCTTCCTTTTGAGGGGAGACCAATATACAGGGCATTACAGTAGTCTAGTCTGGATGTCACCCTGGTGTGGATCTAGGCAGGGGATCTCTTGTTACATTACATAATAGCCATGTGTGTCCGCTGTCCCACAACACACACCCCACACTAGCGTCACACCTCCCGTCCTGCAGAGCCCTTGTCTTGCATTTCTGACCGGTGGAAAATTTAGCAGATCTTTCATGGGAGCATCAGGAGTTTGAGACCACTGTTGTGCGGGCATCTGTTTAGCACGTGGAAAGAAATAACACTGTTTTACCCACTAGATGCAGTGTTTCCCTGAGGAATAAAGAGTAACTTTTCCCCCCCTGACAAAAGTTTTTAAAAAGCCTCAGTGGACCTATATGAGTTCCGAGAAAACCCTTGTTACACGTATTTCTCTGAACGTCCCATTCGACTCTCTCACCAGTTTTAAAACCTGATTTCAAGGTGCCGTTTGCCAACAGGTGTTTGTTCGAGGTTTCATTTGCCCCTGTGGGATTGGTGTGTAAAGGCTTCCAAGGTGTTCCGAATTCTTCATGTTAGTTGCAATATAGTTTCATTATAAAAGAACGCTATTTCTGGATACCAACCTGATAATTGCATACAGTCTGTATTTCTATGGACACTTCAGAAGTACATAAGAGACGCCAATGTTGGATCAGGCCAAAGGCCCATCCAGTCCAACACTCTGTGTCACACAGTGGCCAGAAATACCAGGGGCCATCAGGAGGTCCACCAGTGGGCCCAGGACATCAGAAGCCCTCCCACTGTTGACCCCCCCCCAAGCACCAAGAAGACAGAGCATCACTTGCCCCAGAGTCCCTATCTATACCTTTTCGCTAATAGCCACTGATGGACCTCTGCTCCCTACTCTTGCCCACCAAGTGCAATTCCCTATTGAAGCTGTTTTTAATTGTAGCAACCCCCATTTCCTGCAGCAGTGAATTCCACATGTTAATTTCTCTTTGGGTGGAGATGCACAGCCTGAAGTGCCTCCCCCCCAAGCCACTCCAAAGGCGAAGTGTTGTCTGCACATGCACAGAGAGCATTCCTCTGTTTCATCTCCCTCCACCCCACTCCCGTTTTCAGATTTTTCCACAAAAATGGGGAGATCCACCAATCTTCTTTGTGTGTAAATGTGCCTGATCCCCAGATTTAGGGATCCATTTTGGGTGGTGGTTTCTGGGGGAATATAAGCTGGCCTGTGGAGCAGGGTAAAGTTGTGGTTATACCCCACCCTTCACAACCCAAAGGTGTCTCAGAGCGGCTTACAAACTCCTTTCCCTTCCCCTCCCCACAACAGACACCTTGTGAGGGAGGTGGGGCTGAGAGAGCTCTTGACAGAAACTGCTCTTTTTCAAGGACAGCTCTTGTCACAACTACGGCTTGCCCAAGGTCATCCAGCCAGGTGCAAGTGGAGGAGTGGGGAATCAAACCCGGTTCTCCCAGATTAGAGTCCACGCACTTAACCACTACACCAAACTGACTCTCCAGTTGAGAATGTAGTTCTTGAGAAAACAAGATCAAGAAACCATATGTGACTTTAAGAAACAACATACAGTCAGCAACTAATGGTACCTTTAAAATTTTATGTCAGTAATATAGTTTGTCACTAAGAGCTTTGGGAAGACATTAGAGGGAGGCTGCATTGATCCACATTATTGTCATTCCTCCTAGTGGTGAGTGAGGGTTCTTTTCCTCTCCGGGGAAATGACGGGTAATTATTTCTGTATTAATGTAAGGCACATGTTTTGTTTTAAAACAGCTACGTTAGGAGATTGGTGACGAACACCAATAGAGAGATAGCGTTGAAAAAGACATACGAAACCACTGTTTAATCCTTGAATCTACATGTTTTCAAATAAAGGAGTGATGAATACTGTTCGGGAACTTGAAAAACGAAGACTTTTCAGTCTGCTTTGTACACTCAACAGCTCCGTCAGGACGTCCTAAAGAGTAAACATTCCAGGAGCATAGCCAAAACAGTGTTAAGAACAACTACACCAAGATTTTGTATTGTTTTGTATTGTATTCATATGATTATTTACTGACTTGGCTTATGTCCATGAAATGCACTTCACACAAGAAAGAATGTTGTTTAATTCAGGAAATGTCCTGTATAAGTACCACTGTGTTGAAGTTATAGAAGAGTGATTTTCTTTGGTGAGCCCAGTTTTTCCTACTGTGTCTCTTGAGGGGCTCAGGGATCATTAAATACTGGATATTCCAGAAAAGTTGATGGCTGCTTAAGAGCAGTGAAGGTGGAAGAGACTAAAGGCCCGTGAACTCTTTCTACTGCCTTCACCTCGATACCTTCAGGCCTTACCAACACCCCCCTCAAAAAAACCTGGCACATCTTCCAAAAACCACGAAGGGGGTGGATTTGTATTGAGGAGCCCACTTTTTAAAATCTTGGTTCTCCCTCTGACAGCAAAGAAGCATTTTGGGGAGGCTGAAAACCAGCTATTCCTGGCTCTTGTCACAACTGGAAGGGAAACACTCAGTGCAGTCGCAGGACTGGATATCATGATAACTTCTTGTATTCCCAAGGGCAGAGAATCAAAAGAGCTGAGCAGAAACTCAAACGCAAACAGTGGAGGAATCATTCTTTGTCCCCTTTTCCCTTAAAGCACCTAAAGAGGGGGGAGGGGAGGGAGAGGCATAATACAAGAACAGCTGTACTGGAGGGCCTCGATGGGGCAAAGTGTGACCAGCTGCTCAGTTTGGTTGGAAAGAAGTTCTAATAAAGGAATCGCACACCCATTAATGTCCAGAGCCTGACTGGCCGTTTGGCTTCTTGTGTGGCTCCCGATTAGACCTCTTTCTTTATTCCAGCAGGAAAAAGCCACTGATATATTTAGAGAGAAGATGTAAATTCAGTTGCAGATCAGACCTCCTTGTGTGGGTTCTAACAGGATCTCTCTCTCTCTCTTTGTTCCAACAGGGAATGATCAGAGGAAAGAGGAAGATGAGGAACTTCATCACCTCTTGCCAGATGTAGTCAAGAATGACGACTGGAGAGGAAACTTGAGGAATCAAGGCAGACATAAGAGGCAAAAAAGAAGCCACGTGATCAAGAAGAGGGATAAAACCATTTCTTGCCAAGGGGGGGATTTCCATGAAGCGATTCACATGGCGGAGGAAACATGCAAGTGCTTGGAGTGTGGAATGAACTTCTCAGATCAAATGCAGTATCATATCCATTTACAAATGCACAGTGGAAAGAAGACCCATCAATGCCTGGAGTGTGGGAAGAGCTTCCTTTGTAGAGCAGAACGAATTAGACATCTAAGAACACATACAAGAGAGAAACCTGATAGCAGTTTACATTGTGGCAAGAGCATCTCAGAGAAATCAGACTTTGTTCATTTAGGAGAGAAAACATCTTCTTCAGAGGGTGGGATCACATTCTCTGATAGAAAAAGGGGTAATATAAATCTTTCAAAGGGCAGCATAATGAAGGCCCATAAATCTTTTCGGTGTGGAAAGGACTTAAAACACAGATCACAGCTCCTTGTGCACAAAAGAATCCAGAGAATGGAGAAATGTTCTGAGTACATAGAGGGTGGAAAGAGGTTGAGTCGGAGTGGTACTCTTAAAGACCATCAAAGAATGCACACGGGGGACAAACCTTACAAATGGTCAGAGTGTGGAAGGAGGTTCAGACATAGTGGAAGTCTTCAATATCATCAAAGAACCCAAACAGAGAAAACTTTTGAATGCTCAGAGTGTGGAAAAAGATTCACTTGGAGTGACAGTCTTCAATATCATCAAAAAATCCACACAGGGGAGAAACCTTTTGAATGCTCACAGTGTGCAAAGAGATTTAGTCACAGTAGACAACTTCAGTACCATCAGAGAACCCACATAGGGCAGAAACGTTTTGTGTGCTCAGAGTGTGGAAAGAAATTCAGTCAGAGTGGCAGTCTTCAATGGCATCAAAGAACCCACACAGGGGAGAAGCCTTTTGAATGCTCAGAGTGTGGAAAAAGATTCACTTGGAGTGACAGTCTTCAATATCATCAAAAAATCCACACAGGGGAGAAGCCTTTTGAATGCTCAGAGTGTGGAAAAAGATTCACTTGGAGTGACAGTCTTCAATATCATCAAAAAATCCACACAGAGGAGAAACCTTTTGAATGCTCACAGTGTGGACAGAGATTCATTCAGAGTAACCATCTTCAAGGACATCAGAGAACCCACACAGGGGAGAAACCTTTTGAGTGCTCAGAGTGTGGAAAGAGATTCAGTCAGAGTGGCACTCTTCAACGGCATCAAAGAACCCACACAGGGGAGAAACCTTTTGAATGCTCACAGTGTGGACAGAGATTCATTCAGAGTAACCATCTTCAAGGACATCAGAGAACCCACACAGGGGAGAAACCTTTTGAATGCTCAGAGTGTGGAAAGAAATTCAGTCAGAGTGGCATTCTTCAACGGCATCAAAGAACCCACACAGGGGAGAAACCTTTTGAATGCTCAGAGTGTGGAAAGAAATTTCGTTATAGTGGCCAGGTTCAACGTCACCAGAGAACCCACACAGGGGAGAAACCTTTTGAATGCTCAGAGTGTGGGAAAAGATTCAGTGACAGTGGCAACCTTCAAAAGCATCACCGAACCCACTCAGGGGAGAAACCTTTTGAATGCTCAGAGTGTAAAAAGAGATTCAGTCAGAAAGGCGGTCTTCAGGTGCATCAAAGATCCCACACAGGGGAGAAACCTTTTGAATGCTCAGAGTGTAAAAAGAGATTCAGTCAGAAAGGCGGTCTTCAGGTGCATCAAAGATCCCACACAGGGGAGAAACCTTTTGAATGCTTAGAGTGTGGAAAGAGATTCAGTTTTTGGAGCAATTTTCAAAGACATCTAAAATCCCATGTAGCCGATGAAAAGACCTTTTCTCCTGTTTGACACCTAAAAGACATCTACAGACTATACAAAGCATTGAAATGATGTAAACTGTTGTAAAGAGCCGGAATCTACACAGAAACCTTGCCCTTATTAGGAAGAAACGTTATGAATGGTAGGACTGTGGAAAGAGCCTGAGTCACAGATCTGACTTTCATGTTCTTCAGAGAATCCATATGAGGGTGAACTTCTATAGGGATAGCTGGTTCTGATGATAGACTTCTTCAAATGCTCAGATGTTGGAGGTTCGAAAAGTCTCAGAAAATAGTTACACAACGAAAGGCTTTTTTATCTAGTGTAGTGTAAATGTTAAGAGTGGTAGACTCTAATCTGGAGAACTGGGTTTGGGTCCCCACTCCACCACATTAAGCCGCCTGGGTGACCTTGAGCCAGTCACAGTTCTCTCAGAGCTCTCCCAGCCCCACTTACCTCACAGAGTGTCTGTTGTGGGGAGAGGAAGGGGAGGCGATTGTAAGTCTCTTTTAGGCCCCAGTCACACGAGAGGTTTTGGGCCGGGAGAGGGACGGGTTGGGGGCGGAGCAAACGGGCGCAATCCCACCGGAACCCATCCCTGATCCGGCCCTTCCACCCAAAACAGCGCGGCAAAAATAAATCACCTACCGAGGTGGTTCTTCCGGCAAGGGCGCATCAAGGCCGGCCGTGAAATCGCCGGCGCGTCCTTTCGCCGGCGCATCCCCGGCTGCTGGCCGAACTGCGTATGCTCACACATGTGCAGTTCGGCAGCCTCCCCCTCCCGACTGTGGCTTCCTCCCTGGCATCTGATCGTGCCGGGGAGCAACGGCGCCGCGGCTCAGGGGATCCATGGGATCCCGCCATGGCGTCTCTATTTTGGTGCGGCTCTTATTAGCCACAATTTGCCCGTTGTTTTTCCTGCCGTGTGGCAGGGACCTTAGACTCCTTTGGGTAGAGAAAAGCGGGGTATAAAAGCCAACTCCTCTTCTTCTTCGCAATGGTTGCCCTCCTCTGTGAAACACAGTACTTCAGGGTATCTGCCAAGCTAATTCTTTCTGACATCTGCAGTTTAAAGTATTGGCTGTTATGTAGAAAGTATTAAAGTATTGGCTACTTAATACCTGGACCATCATATCTGCGAGACGGCTTCTTCAAATCTGTGCCGCCATGGTAGGTTCGCTCATCTGAGTGAGCTCTTCTGCAAGAGTCGTACTGTACTAAATGACTCACAAAATTACTTGGATAGATTATTAGGGACTGCGGTGGCCTATGATACTGTGTTCAGCTTACTGAAACTAGGATCCTACTATGTAATTTTGGAATCATTTAATGTGTCGTGGTAACACAGTTTTGCTTAACGCCTGTTTTAGATTTCTGATTGGTTCTACAACCCTAATCCTATTGTGTTTTTTTATTAAATGCTCCAACTGGTTGATTGTATTGACTCACTCTGTGTAATCTCCCTTGAGTCCAAATGAGAAGGGCAAACTAGAAACAGCATAAATAAATAAATAAATAAATAAATAAATAAACTGGCTGAGGCTTCTCATTTCCCCCAACCCCACCCTCTCCAAGGCTCGACCTCCAAATTTGCAGGAATGGGTCAAGTTGTAATTGGCAACACTAGGAAGGCCTGGACCCCATGAGACTTCCCTCAAAGGCCAAAACACCCCTGAAAAGGACCTTGTCCTCTCCCCTTGCTTTTCACTCACAGAAACCCAGGATGAAGCTATGGTTGCCTAGCAACAGATACAGAAGCAATCCATTTCTTAAAGCTACAGGTGCTCCTTTTATTATATGGTGTTTTTTTAAAAGAAAAAAGAAAAAAAGAAAAACATTTTTTCCTAATATATTTCACATTTTCCTTCCCGGACAAAAGTTGAAAAAAGCTTCAGTGGACCTTTATAAGTTCCGAGAAAACCCTTTTTACATATATTTCTCTAAATACCTCATTCAACTCTCACCAGTTTCAAAACCTGATTCCAAACTGCCGTTTGCCAAGGTTTCATTTACCCCTGTGGGATTCCTGTATAGAGGCTTTGAAGGTTTTCCAAATTCATTTTTTTTCTCTTTCCCATATACGTTGCTTGTGATATAGTTTCATTAAGAAACAACACAATTTCTGGATATCGGCCTGCTCATTAAATGAAATCTGCATCTCCAACTCTCCATCTGTTATTTGCACCTTGTTCTCCCTCTCCCCATGCAGCAGAAGGACAAGTATCCCTAGTCTGTGAACTAACACCAGCATCACCTTCAGAAAGTGTGCATTGGACCGGGATGTGCCTCAAGAAGAAGAAGAAGAGATTGGATTTATACCCCGCCCTTCACTACCCGAAGGGGTCTCAGAGCGGCTTCCAGTCTCCTTTCCCTTCACCTCCCCACAACAGACACCCTGTGAGGTCGGTGGGACTGAGAGAGCTCTTGACAGAAACTGCTGTTTTTTCAAGAATGGCTCTTATCAGAACTACGGCTTGCCCAAGGTCATCCAGCAGCTGCAAGTGGAGGTGTGGGGAATCAAACCCGATTCTCCCAGATTAGAGTCCGCGCACTTAAACACTATACCATACAGATTGGATTTATACCCCCGCCTTCACTACTCGAAGGTGTCTCAGAGCGGCTTACAAACTCCTTTTCCCTTCCCCTCCCCACAACAGACACCCTGTGAGCAATGCTCCCTCTAAGCTGTGGAGTCCTGTGAGCAAAAATTCTACTTTGTGAGCTGCTGGCATTAAAGTTGTGAGCAAGCAATCTAGCTACTGCATATATTAGTTTGCTCTGGAGCCATCTTTCCTAAGACAAAAATGTGTGAGCCGGAGACTAAAAAAGTATGAGCTAGCTCACATTAACTCAGCTTAGAGGGAACACTGCCTGTGAGGAAGGTGGGGCTGAGAGAGCCCTTGACAGAAACTGCTCTTTTTCAAGGACAGCTCTGACAGAACTACGGCTTGCCCAAGGTCATCCAGCAGGTGCAAGTGAAGGAGTAGGGAATCAAACCCGGTTCTCCCAGATTAGAGTCCGCGCACTTAGCCACAACACCAAACTGGCTGCCGTTCTCTGGGAGCCCCAAAATGGTGCCAAGGATTGTCCCTGGCATGGAAAAAGGACATTAAAGCCCTTATACACCAGCTGTGACAGCAGCAGAAATGCCAGGAACCACGCAAGGGAGTAGAGTCCCAGGGAGAATAGACCCTGCAGCACCCCTAGACTGGCAGGAACTCCAGAAGTGAGTCCAGAGAAAGGAGGGTTCCCAAAGTAGGTTGCGACCTGAAGAATGTTGATGGGGCACTGGGACAGATGAGGCCAGAAGGTCCCTCAGATCTATGGGGAGGGATTGTCGCCAGGGGTTCGGATTGGGAAACTTCTGGATATTTGGGGGTGGAGCCTGGGGACGACAGGGCCCTGAGTGGGGTACAATGCCATATACTGTCCACCTTCCAGAGCAACCATTTTCTCCAGGGGAACTGATCTCTGCAGTCTGGGGATGTGCTGTGATTCTGGGGATCCACAGGTCCCACCTGGAGGCTGGCACCCCTACTGCTCGGCCAAGGCTGTGAAGGGTCCACATTAACAGTCCTTCCCTCTATTCCATGCCCTCAATGTCCTCTCAGCCCCACCCCTCAGGAGTATGTCTTCCGCCTGGAGTTAGCAGGCTTTTAAAAACCATTCAACAAGTTGTGGTTTTTCAACACTTCTTTTTGTAATTTGCTCTTAAGGGCTGTTTCTGTCCCAAGTGACAGTTCCCTTTCCTCCTAAAGCAGTGGTGGCGAACCTATGGCACGGGTACCAGAGGTGGCACTCAGAGCCCTCTCTGTGGGCACGCGTGCCATCGCCCCAGCCAGGCCCGGACCATCATTAAAGTGTCGAATTCTCTGCCAAATAATTTTAAGCAAATGAAAACATTTGGGACGGCTTTCCTTACTTTGTTTGGATCGTCTTAAGTTAATGTGTGAGTTGTTTTTTCTAAAGTAAAACCTCAGTATTCAGGTTAAATTGCCGTGTTGGCACTTTGCGATAAATAAGTGGGCTTTGGGTCGCAGTTTGGACACTCGGTCTCTAAAAGGTTCGCCATCACTGTCCTATAGTGTCTAGCTACCCCTCGTTTCTTTGTAGTTTAATAGTAAAGGTAAAGGTTTCCCTTGCTCGAAAGCCAGTCGAATCCAACTCTAGGGTTGCGGTGCTCATCTCCGTTTCAAAGCCGAAGAGCCAGCGCTGTCCAAAGACGTTTCCGTGGTCATGTGGCCGGCATGACTAAACACCAAGGCGCAGGAAATGCTGTTACCTTCCCACCGAAGTGGTCCCTATTTGTCTACTTGCAATTTCTTGCTTTCAAACTGCTAGGTTGGCAGGAGCTGGAACAAGGGGAGCTCACTCCGTCATGCGGCACACTCCGGTCTCGAACTGCTGAATGACTGACCTTCCACAGCCTGCAGTTCAGCGTCTTAACCACTTGAGCCACCTTTTAGTTTAATAGAAAATGGAATTAAAAAATCCCAGGGGGGGAGCTAAAAAAAGAAAGAAAGAATACAGGATGGTTCAGAGAGGTCCATCAGTGGCTATTAGCCACAAGGTATAGATAGGGGTTCTGGGGCAAGTGATGCTCTGTCTTCTTGGTGCTTGGGGGGAGGGGTCAACAGTGGGAGGGCTTCTAGTGTCCTGGCCCCACTGGTGGACCTCCTGAGGGCACCTGGTATTTCTGGCCACTGTGTGACACAGAGTGTTGGACTGGATGGGCCTTTGGCCTGATCCAACATTGGCGTCTCTTATGTTCTTATATGAACTCTAGGTCTGGGGCAAGGGATGCTCTGTCTTATTGGTGCTTGGGGAGGTGGTCAACAGTGGGAGGGCTCCTAGTGTCCTGGCCCCACTGGTGGA